CTGGGGAGGGAACCGGGGGGGGGAGGGCGAATCGGAGCCCCGAGGATGGCTCCGGGACGCGGCGAGTCCCGCTCCCTCCGGGGTTGTGCGGGGACGTGCTGGGTTTGTGGCGGTTTCTTAGGACCGGGCTCTGTCGCCTCGAAACGGGCGCTGAAATGCGTCTCCTTACTTAGCAGGAGTGGTTCTTTCCCTCCATCCAGACTCCAAAGCTACTCGTTGGAGTGACAAAAACAAAGCTTTTGCTCCTCTCCAGTGCTTAAATGTGCTCGGGCTCCCAGCTGAAAAGGAGCTGGGTACCTTGGTTGCTGGAAGATTAAATCTGCAGCCCGTGGACTTTTAAAAGGTACTGCTCCGGTGCTTAAACAACTCGGAGTGGGGAAATATTTGGTTCCCAGCACTAAATTTCCGACGTGGTCAATCTGGAGCAATTCTACCAGAAAATCACGGCTTCCTGCCATGCTGCAGGTTGCAGTTGACTCGTTGCTGCGACTCTCCGGAGCATCGATGGAGGGTGAATTCAGCCTGCGGAGAGAAGTCGGCTTATCTGTACAGTCTCTGGCAGAGTCGGACTGACAGTTGATATACATAACTGTTACACACAAACACTAGGAAGCAGTATACTTGGCACCATACGCTACAGTAAAATGTGAAAGAAACGGAGCTACAGTTTAAAACTTAGTACAGTGAGATAAACTGCAGACGTTGATCTTGGCAAATAGCCTGAATGCGATTTTTTTAAGCTTGTTATAAATCTTTCTGGTTTTGTAGGGGTAGGAGGATATACTGCAAGTGTTTCGGAAGCAGGTTGGGGGTTAGTTTTATTTGCGTCTTACTGGCAGCTTCCATTCAGTCGCGAAAAGACCAGGGGTAGACCTAGAGGCCAGTCCTGTTAACCGTAGTGCATAGGGTAGAGAATTACTGTAGCCTTGCCAATTCCTGTTGATTCAGGGATGTGCCTGCATGCAGCAGTCGGCAGGGGCAAGGCCTTCTGAGGGGTGTTCAACAATTGTTTAGAGTCTTGTCTGATAACCAAGTTTAATGTTTAATCATCCTACAAAAATCCATCGATGTGCTGAACAAATAATATAGTTGCCGCAGATGCTTAAAAATATACTAATATATAGCTACTCAGATCTCTTCGTTTTGTTCAAGTTTATAAATGATCAGAGAGAAATTTTTAATTAACTTTGAAAGTATTCCAGAAAAACTCCTTTCATCTTTTGTCAGCTTTTCAGATTGTGAATAATTTGGCAGTATTTGTAAAGCACTTTGCAGTTATTACTTATGAAGTACTAAGCTAGGTATGGGTACTTTGAGAAACTGTTAGAGAATAATAAGATCTTGCTTTAGTAGGACACTAAAAATAATACACTCATACCAATTATGCCTCTTAAGCATAAGATCTTTTTTTAAGTGCTTACAGTGTTTATAGAAAATAGCGCTGTGTTTTATTGTGTATATGGGCAACAAAAGTCCCTGTTACTTCCTGTATCAGCATACCTAGAGAAAATACTTGTTTGGGCAGCTATTGAGTTGGCAGATGTGGGAAAATTAGTGCTTCTAATAGTTAAAGGGAGTTTCTTCAAAAATCATCTAGTTAGATGTGCAGGTATATCTTGTATTCAATTCCAAGCAAGAGCAAGTGCTTTTATGGAATTGAATTTTAATATGGAAGTAGAGGTGTTCTTTGACCATTTATAGATCAGCATCTCGTAAGAACCACACAGAATATGAGATTAAACATTGTCTTTACTGTTAGAAAACCATGTGATATTCTAAAAGTAAAGATGACTATACAGAAATTAGATTTCTGGAGATATTTTTTTGAAAGCAAGATTGGAAGTGACTGAACTTCAAATTGGCCCTCAACGGACAGTGTAGAACCTTGCCTCAGATAACAAACTCAAGATTTCCTGGGATCTTCTAGTTGAGCTGTAATCTTATTTGAGTCTGTCTTCTCTGTAAGAAGGACATGAACAGCTGTGTTTGTGATGGCAACTCCTGTTAAAAAGTCTGTGTACTGCTAAATGTATAAATGAATTTGTCTCTGGATTTGAGTGTTCAGAGAAGTTTGAGTAATGTCAGGGAAGATTTTTTTTTGGTTTTGGTTGGTTGTTTTTCCCCTCTCTGATGATTCCCTTTGTATTAAGGGGAGCAATACATTTTCAGTTTACAGTAAGAAGTATGGCTGAAACATCAGTAACAGATGGAAGTTTAGGCTTGAGTGGGCTTTTTCTTCAGTGGATACTTGCAAAGTAAAGTGAGTGGGACTTGACCAGAGAAAATGAAGTGAAAAAAAAAAAAAAAAAAAAAAAAAAAAAGTGTTTTTTGTTATCTACATTTTTGATTCAGAATGTGTTGCTTCTGCCTGAAAATCAGAAATTGATATAATGTAGCTTCTGACACTGATGATCGGCTTCTACAATGCAGCAAAAAGGAATATATTCAATGTGAAATTTATGGCACTGCTGTGGTGTTTTTGATCAACTCTGCTGACTGGAATATGATTGCTTTAATGGCCAAGGATGACAGTAATTTAATGCCATGATAGTATGGGGAAGCGATGATCATAAATTGGATCAGAAATGGGAATTGGATTAAGTGAAAGATAAAATTAATTTAAACACTTGGGCGAGAACAGTTGAATATTATCAGGAAAAACTAGACAAACATAAATATAATCCGCTATAATTATGCTCACCTACAGTAACTGTTGTCTCATTTTAATTCCTTTTATTGTAAAGAAATTATCCTTCCTATTTCTCATCCATCTAGGACTTTCATATGGCCACCTGCTATATGAGCACACTTGCCTGTGTGTTGTCTCCTCTGAGAACTTCAATTACTTCAGAAATGACTGCGTCGGGGAGAGGAATCTCATGTTGGAATTTTTGTATCTCGCTTCTTTGGAGACAGAACAGTGCTAAGATGCTGAAAATTACAGAGGTTTTTTTCCTAATAAATTATTAAATTTTAGAAACTGCATTTTAAATTTTGTATTTATTTTTTCCCCACAAAAATTACTAACTGGTTTTGGTGGCATATCCCCCAATTTCTTGAATTATCTAACAGTTATATTTAGTAGTGAAAGACATAGGATACTTGCCATAGCAATTTCTAAATCTTCACTTTTTTTTGGTTCCATCTTAGATGGTCTTTTTACCACTTCTGAGATGATATGAGGTCTGATGTTGCTTCTGGCATTCTATATGCTTATAATTTGCAAGAGTATGTACTTGTAGATGGAATGCTTTTATTTTACAGGTGCTTACTAACTTGATTTCAGAGGGATTTTTGAAATCTTACTATCAAATTCTGATTACTGAAAATGAGTAAAGAGCAGATACTTTTCACAGTGTTTTTTAAACATTTTAAAAAATTATTAATTTTTTTAAATGTTGGCTCGTGGGTGGGATTTACCTCTGATTGAATTTTGGGCTTTAAACAGTTAGAACCTTCAGTTTGAGAAACAGCATAATTAGGAGAGAATTATTTGAGGGGCATTCTTGTTGAGTCTGCGAAGAAATTCTGGGGTCCAGAGGCAACTCTGGGAGGTAGTTTCAAGAGAAGAAAATGAAGCAATGGTGTTGGAGTTTGGCTGTTTAATCTGAGAGTTTTGAAAGTCCTGGTTCAGGGTGTCCCCATGTGGACCAGCCCCCCTGAATCTGAATCTGCCTGACCTTTATAGGAAGGGAAATATCTTAATGTAGGCCAGAAAGGAGGTGCAGGTGCTAGCCTGTCCTAGGCCACAGTCTTTGTGATTTCCAGCATGTATGGAGGAACTTTGTGCTATTGATTGCTGAGTAACCTGGCCAAGAGTGGGACTGGAAAAATGTTTTGTCAAGATTTTACCAGATTTGTATTTTAGTTGCACTTTTAATAAGGGAGAAGCTTGGACATATCTAAGATTTGACACTGAAGTCCCTTACCAGGCTTTCTGTGGACCAGCAGTGTTTGACTTTCTTGGGAAGAAGTTTTACATGCATGAGGTAGCTGAATTAGGATACCTTTTGTGGTCCATGCTGCCAGTGGACAGCTAAATCAATCAAAGGGCAGATACCCTGTGGGAACCGGGATAGTACTGATGGGTCTTTATACACCTATGTACATTGCTAACTCTTCAAAATATGTGTATGTTGGCTTGATAAACAAAAGGTGTCATTTCAAAAAAATGACATCCAGGAGTGAATGCTGTTCAAATTCCATTCACATTCATGCCAGTTTGAAGTTATTGACTTTGATACCAGCAGAGATTTTTTTTGTGATGAGAAAGCAGCAGGATATGTAAACAGTTATGAGTAAAATAAATCAGAGGCTTCAGAACATCAATAATGCTTGAGAATGTATGATTTTTCTGTTAGGTGACTGCTCTGAACAATTATGTAAATTGAAAATATGTTCTGCCAAAATTTATGTAGCAATATGCTGCAACAATTTAGAAGAACTTTAATTGAAGAGAATGAGCTTTATAGGGGGATAAATATTGTAAATATTTTGATTCATCAGTACTTAAAGGTTATGGTTGCTCTGAAGAGTCTTTTTCTGCAGCCATCTGTCTTTATTTTTCCTGACAAGATTGATATGTATAGTGGTGGGTTTTGACAGTATAGAAGAAGTGGTGCTGCAGCCTAATTTACCGATGTTTTTCCTGAATGATGTGATTACTTAGGATGTATCTTAAAAATGTGTATGTGTATTTTTTCCCTGGGTAGTCTAAACTTTAACATCTTCAATTTTTCTAACCCCTTGTGCCTCCAGAATAGCTTTTCATTCAACTCCTTCAGTAAGAATACCGTGGAAAAAAAATTCTTAGCATTACTAGATTGGATAACGGGGCTTTTATTTTGAAGGTATTATATCTAAGAGTGATTGAGGTCTATTTCTGCAGTGTTGATAAGACCTGATTTCTGTCCTGTATGTGGTTGGTTGGATTTTTTTTTTTTTTTTAATGATTGGTTAAGTGAAAACAGCATTGCTTAGATTAATAAAAAATTTTGAAGTGAACATGAGCAAGCTTATGGCCTTATTATGTCTGAAACATTTTCCATCAGGTTTCACTTCAGGTTAAATAGAGTAAAAGGGCTACTGCCCTTTATAACCTAAACTAGGACTCTACGTGGCTTATCAAGACAGAACAGTTAAAAACCTGTGGTTATAGAAATGTCACCAGGATATGTGGAATGTACTCTTTCCAGGTTTATTTTTTAATTTTCTAAAACTAGTATTAACATTTTTCCCAACAGCTACATTTATAAGAACAGAGTGTCTTTAATATTTTTTTCTTGATCTAATACAGATTTTTAAATGATGTCTTTAAAGCAATAATATACTACCAAAATGTGGTTCTCCCTTTGAGGGGATACATCTTTTGTGTCTGTGTTATACTTGGTTTTGAAAGCCCCCTTTCAGTCAGTGACCTTTATTTTAGTTGCATAAAACAAAAAGAACTGAGGTGATGCTTTCAGAACAGAACTAGGACTTTGACTTAAGCAAACTGTGGAGATCAAAATAGACATCTCAAAAGCTAAAGGCTGAAGTGTGGAACTTCTTTTGTGGGGATAACAGCAGCTGTTTTGTGAGTTTGGTATATTTCTTAGCTGATTTTTTTTTTTTTTTTCCTTTTTCCCTTTTTCTCCTTTAGTAGAAAACCCAGGCAAACAAACAGGAGAGGAACAGAACTCCTTTCTGGCAGGGTCTTAGTGCATGAGGAGTGCAGAGTGCACTGGAGAGTGTGCCATAACCCTGCTGTGCTGAATTTATCCTCAGTGAGGTTGCATTAAAATACACTCTGCATCTCTTGTAGTCTGTGGTGACTTCTGCATACAGATGCAACTGCTGTATTTGCTTTTTGGGAAAGTGCATAGGAAATTGAATGGTGCTGTACAGCTATGAAATCGCATGTGTTTACTTTTCGTGTGTGTTCTCCATCCTCCAAATAGAATCACAGAAGTGCAAAAACATAGGAATTGCTGAAATGTAAATAAGAGGACTGGATGTGCTTTGCTTGCTTTCTTAGGGAGGATAACTATGAATGGAGGTGGAACAAAAGTAAGAATTCAGCTTTACAGAGAGCAAGTCAAGCTCCAAAATGTTTTTGTAGCCAGGGCTGGCTGCCTAATGCATGAAGTTCTCTTCCAGTACTGGTGTGACTGGACCTTCGAATATATACTCAGTTTGAAGCATGCCATTTGATTTTTTATTTTATTAGGATTGTTCAGTTTCTTTAAGACCTTTTAATCAAGTCCATTGTGTTAGATGCTTTATGGAGTCAGATACCATACTTAAGGTCTTTAGATACAAATGACAGAAGAGACTTAGTGAAGATGAGAGCAAGTCATGTACAAAACTAGTGTAGTTTATACTTATTACAGCTGTTCACGTTTCCACAGGGTTCCAAATCTGACATAGTGCAACTCTAAACTACCTTAAAGGGAGGAAAGCTATTAGGCCATTTGTATTGGCTGTCTTTACTAATTAAAAGTACCCCTTGCACTATGGACTTGCATTGATTTTTAGTGGTGTTGCTGGATAAGCAAAGAAAATTAAGGCTTTAATAACTAAGTCTTGTCAATTGTAATTTGTGGCAGTTTAAGACCTAAATACCTTCAGCTTTCCGCCTCCTTTTGGTCATGTAGCAGAACTGGTGAAGTAGACCATGTGCCTGTCTCACCTGGTTGTAGGCACTGTCATGGGATGTCAGTTTGGATTTGTACCATAATGCCAGTGGGATGGTGGCAATGCAAGTGTTGCCTGTGCTCTGGGATGGTCATAGAGTATGTAGGGGAACGGGAGTGGAATCATCTTCAGTGACATTGCACATTATGTTTCAGTGCATTACACGTTACATTTTTGTGTTTTGTCCTGTCACTGGTCAGTGCACTGTGAGTATTGAAAATTGTTGGAAACCCAGGGAATGAATTTTCATAGGCTGTATCTTTAGTTTCTGACTTATTTATTCTTTGTCCCAGGTAGTGAGAGAGATTGCTATGTGATCACCAAGTAGTCCACAGCAAACCAGACCAAGCCTTGAATACTTAAAAGGAGGAGGGGGGAAAAAAAACCCCCAAAAGTGGCAGTATAGCTGTGATGATACAAAGATATGAGAGAGGTGAAGGGTGGGGTTTTGCTATTTGTTTGTGGGGTTTTGTTGTAGGTTTTGGTTGTTTTTTGTTTTCTGAGCCCATTGATACAGTCTGTGGGAAGGAGGAATAAAGGACAAGGATTCCAACCAGAAGTGTTTCTTTTGCTTAGACCTGAAGAGGGCACAGAAGTTTAAACACTTGTCTGTTTCTTTTGTAATTCTATTTCTGATCCTATTTAGAGATTAAAGATTAAAAATTATTTAAGATCTTCTTTTTAGGCTTATTTTTCCTTGAAACAGAGCCTTTTCTCCAAATAAGGAAAGGTTGTGTCTCAGACTAAGGAGGGTGGGGAAAGGTTGAAGAAAATCTTGAGCTGTAAATTCAGAATCTTCTATTTAAAGAAAAAAAAAAGTGAAATTTATTTTCCATCTGTTTATCTGTATGATAAACACATTTCAAAGCTGTCAGAAGAAACAGGGTTTATTAGAACATCAATCTAATGGACTTATGATCCCTTATGCACCTTGTCTGGATAAATGGATGACAACTGGATAAAAGCTGTTGATCACTCTCCTTGCTTTTCTATCATGGTTTGATACAAGGTGTTCTGCAGCAATTTTGGCTTGAGGTACTTGTGATCCCTCTGCTCTCCTGCTGCAGCTTACTGCTCTTGTGTTTTGCTGGGATCACTGTTTGTGGAGATGTACTGTAGACTGGGTCACCAGCATGCCTCTTAAAGCTTTAAGAAAAACAAATCAAAACCAAAAAACCAAAACCCTGTAAAAACTAAAAAGCAACCCCACAGAAGTCT